ACTCTTTGGCAATATGTCTAGTTAGTTCTAAGGCTTATATACCTTGTGGTTACCTTAAGTTGGTAACAAAATCTATCATTCCCAATCAGGTTCAGGAATATCATGTATTCCAAATTATTTTTGTCGTCTAAAATATAGCCACAATAAATACAAACTTCCGCCAACAACCCTGAGTTGAAGGTCTTTCAGGGTGTTTCAGAATATCAGTAATTTGTACTCGTTCTACAGATTAGCGTCGAAGTGAACGCTGTCAACCTTTAGTCCTGCCAAACTATCATTAGATTTCAGATTTGTGTAGTAAGGAGAGAAGGCCTACGGCCTATGTTATTCCTTTTCTAGTATGCTTCTGTGAGTGTCCAGTCTTCTCTTGAAAGAGTCAATTGAAGGTGCGGACACCACTGCTTCAGGCAGCAGGTTCCAAGTATTGATGACTCGGTGTGAAAACCTGTATGCCACGGGTATTTTGTTCGTTCTTGGCTTTTCTACTCGCCTGCTATGTCCTCTGAGGTGTCCCGATCTAGTGGGAAGAAAGAGAGAGAATAAGTTAGGTCCGAAATCATTTCTCAGTATTCTGTACATCAATATTAGATCTCCCCTTAGTCTGCGATAGGACAGAGTAAAGAGGTTCAGTTTTTCAAGCCGCTCTTTATATGATAAACCCGGAGTTCCGGAATTGCACGCGTAGCTGCCCTCTGTACCTTTTCTATTATGTCCGAGTCACCTTTAAACAGGGGCTTGCAGCCTGAACACAGTTCTCTAACTTAGTTCTCACTAAGGATGTGTATAATGTGGTGAACATGGTAGTATCAAGCTTAGTGAATGTCCTTTTTAAAGCCCAGAGGGTTCGAAACCCCTTAACTGCGACCTCCCGGCAATGGGCCGTCGTCTTAAGATCATTGCTCACTGTCACCCCTAGGTCCTTATGAGACCGGACTACGGGTAATGACACATCCCCTATGTTGTACGTATTAACCTTTGAATCCCCCAAGTGCATGTAGACACACTTTTCCGAGTTGATAGGCATTAGCCACTCTTTAGACCAGTTTATCATATTATTTAAGTCCGCCTGAAGAGTAAATGCGTCTTTGTCTCCAGTTATTACTCGCCAAATTTTTACATCGTCAGCGTATAATAACATTGGAGACTGTACTATACTTGTAAGATCATTAACGTACATTATAAAAAGTAAAGGACCTAAGACGGAACCTTGGGGTACTCCACTAAGTACTGGTCTCCAGATGGAGCACTTGGAATTTATTCTTACTTTTTGCCTACGACCTACTAGGAAATCCTTAATCCATTTTAAAAGAGGTCCGGCAATACCAAGGTTTGCCAACTTCAATAGCAGCCTATTAGTTGGCACCTTGTCAAAAGCCTTACTGAAGTCTATGTAGACAACATCCACTGAGTTTCCGTTGTCTAGCGCATTAATCCAGAGCTCCCTAGCTATAAGGAGGTTCGTTGTACAGGATAGACCCTTTCTAAAACCATGTTGTGCCATGTTCAGCAAGTTATTGGTTTCCATAAATGCTGTTATGGTCCGTTTGATTATTCTTTCCAGTATTTTAATTACAACACTGGTGAGGCTTACGGGTCTGTAATTTGATGGAACTTGTCGGGGACCTGTTTTATGTATGGGAGTGACGATTGCGTCCTTCCAGTCCATAGGTAACACACCTTGGTCAAGTGACATTTTGAATATCACAGTCAGTGGGGCTGCGATATATTGGGCAATATGTCTCAAGATTTTAGGGTGTAGTTCATCTGGTCCTGTTGACTTCTCCATGTTTAGGGTGCTAAGAGCCTTAAGCACATCGTTTTGGTCGAAGTCCACGGTGAGCAGCTGGTTTGTTGACTCTGTAATTGGGTCTGGTTCTTTCTCTAGAGGAGGTTCCTGAGTGAAAACTGCCCCAAAGTAGTCAGCCATAACCTCAGCTTTTTCCTGATCTTCCTCTATCATTTCAGATTCACTTCCTACTTTAATTAGGTTGGGAATCCAATGATGAATCCTTGTTCTGTAGTTTATGTACGAGAATATCCTCTTGGGCTGCTTGAGTGCAGATTCTGCCAGCTGCATTTCATATTTTCTTTGCGCTTCCCGAATTTTAGTTATACACTCGTTTCTTATCGATCTGTAACGTTCCATCGTACCCGCTGTGCCAAGGCGGATGGCAACATCCCAGCATTTCTTCTTTTGTCTTAGTAAGCGTCGAATATCCCGCCCTATCCAGGGATGTCCGTGCTTCTTTTTCTTTGGGACAGTCCAGGGTATGTATGGTTGAGTTACCCGATTGTATAACTGCCTGAATAGAGTCCATGCCTCTTGTACTGATGCCTTTGAGTCAATTTCCCAGTTCTCAGCCGATGCTGCGGAGTTAATTGCCTGCATATCTGCCTTCCATATGTTAGGACGGGCCGGCGCAATTGTTTGACAAGCAATCTCAGCCATGAATTTGAATAAGATGACTGCATGGTCACTTCTCCCAAGTGGTGGGAGAAAAGCCGTTTGACCAACGTCATCACCGTGTGTGAAGACTAAATCTAAAAGAGAAGAGTTTCTTAAGTCGTATCTTGTGGGATCTCTAATGTGTTGGAATAATGCTAGTCCAATCGAGGTTTCTAACAGTTTGGAGTCGAACGACGATATGGATGACCCTACTTCTAAGTTAACCCAGTTTATATATGGTGCATTAAAGTCGCCTACTACAAGGCTTTTACCGTTGTTACACCAGGACTTAAGTTTACTAAGGAGAAAATCATCTGCTACACATTCTGGACTGCGATAAACTACAACTACTTCAATATCTTGCCTTCGGCATTTCAACTTACATCTCACCAGTTCACATGTCCCTGAAACATGTGCTACTGTCTCAGCTAATCTTATGGTTAGGGTACTTTTGGTGTACAAATAACCCCGCCTCCCCTTCGGTTTAATCTATCAGCCCTACTGGTTATGAAACCAGTCAATTGGATTTCACTATCTAATACTTCTGACGTTAACCAAGTTTCCGAGACAGCGATAACGTCCGGTTTTTCTTTGTCCACCACTGACTTCAGCTCCGCCATTTTATTTAGTAGGCTGCGAGCATTTGTGTAGCACACTTTTAAGTCTGTGGAGAGCTTTCCCTTGCCACCCAGAGTGGCTTGGGGATCGTTTTGCTCCGAACTTTTACAATCTGAAAACCCTTAAGAACGAGGTTTCTTTCACCGTTTCGGCGACGCTCGTTTATTTCCGCTTCTGCAGCTCTTCTCTTAATACGATCAGCTAGGCTGAGGTCCTCACGGACATATATTCCGGATCCAATCAGTTTACGTGAATTACTTAGAATCAGGTTCCTTTCTTCCACCGTGTTGAATGTAACCTTTAGGAGGCGGTTTTTCTGAGGACTTTCGGAATCCACCTTTTTTCCTATTCTATAAAGCTTACAAATACTAACTCCTGAAACTGTATCTGGGAGTAGTTTACTTAATGATGTCTTAATATGATTGAGATCATGTTCAAATCTTGCCTTTGGTTCAGTATCTGAAGATTCTCTTATCTTATGAAAAATGACTGATCTATCAGAGAGATCTGTCTTTTCACGCGGTGAGGATTTTTCTTCTGATAACATCCCTTCCAATGTTTTGCTGACCAGCTGCGTTTTGCCTACAGCCTTTTTCTTCTTATTTTTTTTCTTCTTACCGAAGTCCATTTGTCACCACTCAGAACAGCCACACCTGGACTATTCTTTTGATCTCGCTCTTGATAGTATTTAAGATAGCATCTCATTATGCTTCGTCTGCGTTTGTTTATTACAAACGGTGGTGTTTTTAATTCATATGTCATTCGTATATCTTATATTTGGGATTACAACGCTTGGTGCTTCCAACTGATTCTGGAATAGGTAATGAAACTGGAAAGCATTCATCAGTCTTAATGTACTGGGAATAACATAATTAACGTCTAGTACACCACCCTGATATAAATAACTCACTATATAGTGGTTTCCATTTAGGGCGTAGGTGAGAAAGTAACATTACTGTTCCTGATTTTTTCAGGGATTAGAAACGTTTATTTGAGCCCGCTGCGTATCCTAGTATGACGCCAAGCTTAACCTTGATCTTGATGACTTCAGGCAAATATTTTACTAAATACCAATTCAATTACATTCACAGTTTCGTGCGCTTTACTGGGTCGAACGATTTATTTATTGAACCTACCTAATAAATGGTGTTGTGGATTTTTTTTAGAAAGTTCCTAGGCACTATCAATATCTCCTCAGTTTCAAACGTAAAATAAGACCGGGAATAATTATTATATTGTCGTGTGTAGTTGGCCTTCTAGTTAATAAGTTATTATTTCTGGTTATTTTAAATGTGCTCTTTATGCTTCTTGGACTTACTAAGTGTCTCTGGATGCACTACGCTCGTTGCCGAGAAAGTAACTGAAATTTTTAAGACGTCGAGTTTGTGCAATATGTCAATACATTAGCGAATCCGAAAACCTTAACACGAATATTTATGCTATCTTTCCAATATCAATCCGCTATAAACCTGCATTTTACCGTTCAAAGTTTCAGATCTTTGAGCAGTTATATAACCTTCTCTCCTCTTGGTTTTGTAACTTTAGTACCATTAATCATAAAGAGAGATTATTCTAACTGAAGGACATTGAAACTTTATGTAGTTGACCGGATTGTCACATCACATTTGAATGTGCCCCATTTTCCGGTTTCGGATTTTACGTGCACTATATTACCAAGCAGTCAAAAACAATTCTAGTCCCATAATATTCCATGTGCCATTTATACTCATTGTATCTTTTCATTGAAAATTTTTTAAACAACTAAAGAAATTTTATTTTCACACCGCTATTGATACAACATTCATTCACGTATTAATTCATTTCAAAGGTTTCTACAATTTTTATGCGAACTAATTGTCTAGAGAAGCTTGAAATCAAAGGCAAAATGATGGTAATGAGTAACTCAATACTCATTACCATTTGTTGTTAAAATGAAATGTATATTGATTTAAGGCCAGTAGAAATTTCTCCAAGAGACGTACAGCTCTTCTCTCTTTTAGGTCCGTTGTATGTAGGCTGAAGATGCGCATTTCTAACGAAACAAAAGTCGTTTTAAATCTTGACGTTCTGGCACTATCTGTTTTCATTTCTGTATGTATGTCATTCTTCATAAGTGACCAGTTTGTTTACTACAGGTAAGACAGTACAATTAGTGTAAGCTTTATCTTTAATAACTTACTGATATCCCGTCTTGTTACATAGATTTTCGTGTATATTCATTCTTTGAATTTTAGTGACCAGTTATCATCGTTCGTATTCTTATCAATATCATTTCGTTTTTTGCTCAACAAGCTAACAACCAGAAGCGCAATAAAATGTTCACGTACTTATTTCATAATTATTGGATGATTCTCGGAGTCTCCGAGCCCTGTGTATTAATCTTTGAAAAAACGCTACCTGATTTATATTCTACTTCAGTTTACGTTATTGTTTGTCTTCCAAGTAAACTGATATGTCATATGGCCCGTCGAATATCACGTGACAAAATCATCGATCGAAATGACTTGTATGACGTTGTCCCTGTGCTAAACCAGTGATGCGTCAACCAGCACGACCAGCCTTGAGTCAACTTTTAGTCCTTTTTGGCCTTCTGTGTGGTAGCACCTCGTCCACTCCAGCCTGGTTTAGTCCAGAACACAAACACCAGACTCCGTATATTTCGGACACTTGGTTTATATACAGGCAGACCAGATCGCATCACACTATAAAATGAAAGCGAATTATTATACAAGAGTGTCAGAGGCTGTAACTAAAAAACTGGGAATAACTTAAGAATAGTAAATCGTATAATAGTAGCCAATTGGTCAAATATAGGCTTATAATAAGGGAAATATAGATATAATCTGGTTATTTAATATTTATGCAATAAGAATATATGCACATTATAATAACAGTCCATAAATAATTTCTCGAATTCGCCCATAGTTTAATCTTCGGACATAGCATGAACTACTAAAATCGATAAGTGATGTAGATCAGCTGATATGAGCTTGGTGCTATAATTTTAATTTGGATTGGATTTGTAGCAGTATCTGAGGCCTTTTACTGTATTGATCGATAAATTTGGGTGTATTTGTAACTGTTCGCAAGTATGATTCTGTGTTTTTTCGTTCTCTGGTTCCGAATTTTTCTGAGGTGAATTTACAAAATACATTCTGTCACCACCGATGCAGCCTGAAACGTGGACCTGGAAAACAGGATTACAGTTTCTCAATTTTGTTTTTAGGTTTTATCATATGCACTACATATTTTTTTAAATGCCAAGAATAATATAAATCTTTCGCATTTGTGTGGATGCAAATTCATTTCACTTTATTAGCACCTATAAACTGAATTTGACTCATGATCTCAACTGTTGAAATTACTACAATCTCCACAAAACCCCTTCTGATACGAATCAACATATGCTCACTAGTGACTGGCTTCAAGAGTTATATCCTGGAGTTCTGGTGAGAAGCAATGACCAGTGGAGTTCAACCAGGTCATTTGTGAGATAGTAACTCACTTATGATAATGGTGGGTGTGTGGCTCAATTTCGTGGATTAGTTGAAGTTAGACATTAACACCGTTGGATGCCGGCTCAGTGGTCTAGTGGTTAAGCGCCTGGAGCGAGACTGATAGGTCCTGGGTTCGAATCCCGCGAGGCGGGGTCGTGGATGCGCATTGCTGAGGAGTCCCATGATAGGACGAAACGGCCGTCCAGTGCTTCCAGGTTTTCCATGGTGGTCTTGATTCAATTGACTCATGATCTCAATTGTTGAAATTGCTACAATCTCCACAAAACCCCTTCTGATTTATAAATCCCGCCAATTTTTATTAACTGTAAAAGCATTTCATATTATCTACATCGCACCAAATAGTAATGAATTTCCTTGTAAATGGTCAGATTTCAGATTAAAACGCATCCAGTAATTATCATAGTGATGTTTAGACATTATTATGCTCTTATTTTTTTTAAAATTGGTATTACCTTTTACTTACTTACTCCTGTTACTCCTAATGGAGCATAGGCCATCGACCAGCATTCTCCAACCCACTCTATCCTGGGCCTTCCTTTCTAATTTCATCCAATCCTTGTTCACTTTTCTCATGTCTATTTCCATTTCTCGGCGTAATGTGTTCTTTGGTCTTCCTCTTTTCCTTTGGCCTTCAGGATTCCATGTGAGGGCTTGTCTTGTGACGCAGTTGGGTGCTTTCCTCAATGTGTGTTCTATCCACTTCCAGCGCTTCTTCCTAATTTCTTCCTCCGCTGGGATCTGGTTTGTTCTTTCCCACAGTTGGTTGTTACTAATAGTGTCCGGCCAATGGATCCGAAGTATTTTGCGTAGACAACGGTTAATAAACACCCGTATTTCCTGGATGATGGCTTTCGTAGTTCTCCAGGTTTCTGCCCCATACAGTAGAACTGTCTTGACATTTGTATTGAAAACCCTGACCTTGGTGTTGGTTGACAGTTGTTTTGAGTTCCAGATGTTCCTCAGTTGTAAATATGCTGCTCTTGTTTTGCCGATCCGTGACTTCACATCTGCATCAGATACACCCTGTTCATCAATGATGCTGCCCAAATATGTACAGGTTTTTACATCTTCCAAATCTTCTCCGTCAATTGTGATTGGATTGGTGCATGCTGTGTTGTATCGGAGAATCTTGCTTTTCCCTTTGTGTATATTGAGACCTACTGCTGCTGAGGCTGCTGCTACACTGATCGTCTTATCCTGAATTTGTTGTTGCGATTGCGATAGGAGGGCCAAATCATCTGCGAAGTCTAGATCGTCCAGCTGCATTCAAGCTGTCAACTGTATCCCACACTTCCCCTCAGATGTTGACGTCTTCATGATCCAGTCGATCATCAGGAGAAAGAGAAAGGGTGAGAGTAAGCAACCTTGCGTGACACCGGTCTTTACCTCGAACGACTTTGTCAATTGCCCTCCATGCACGATTTTGCAGTTTAATCCATCATAGGAATTCCGTATGATATTGACTATCTTCTGAGGCTCGTCGTAGTGTCGAAGAAGTTTCCATAGTGATGTTACCTTTTAGGCCTTATATATTTTATTTGGATTTCCTAGGTCGTTTAATGACAAGATACATTGTTAAACAATCGGTGACATAAAATTAAAGAAATAACTTAAGCTTTCGTCCTACATGAAAAATAAAATTCACGTATTAAATTTTCATGTCTCATTGATTTTCTAAGGTGCATCGAGTTCTGATGATCTTACTTTCTGTGTTACTGGCATCAGACACACAAAACAGTCAACAATGTAGTGATCAATGAACAAAATAATGTTATATCGTTAGTGATAAGGCCCTGGTACTAGAGACTGACTTTTGACATCCTGTCTGGATCACCTCAATATAGTCATTTTGTCACAAGTTATATAGAGTAAATGGCTTGTTGCTAGCAGTGAAACCCAGAACGCATGTTTCACCCTATCTGGGACTCGTCAGTTGGATCCACTTTCAAACCCCTGCTTATATTTACGCGAGGGCTTTAATCCATCGCCTTTCGTTTTGAACATCTAGCTTGTTATTCACTGAGCTACTGACTCCAGATGACTATTAAATTGTTTAATGTGTATGATATTTAGATCAGTAGTAGCAAGGGTTTGAATTATGCGCTTTTTGATATTAAGGAAGACACTATTTAAACTATTATGACCGTGATATGCATATACAATGATAGTAATGAAAAGTTTGAATTAACGTCGTTTTGTCAGTAAAATTAATAGTTGTACGGAAAAGTGTTATTAGTCAGATTTTAAAATTAGGTACATTCATCTGTTATTACTGTGCTCAGTTTGTTTAGTCTGAAACTTTCTTGCACTGGGATAGTTTACTAGAAACACATTACTTCATGAACGTAAAATAAAGTTTCATTTAATAATGAATTAAAGGAATTCGGCGAAAATTTTCCTTTAAAATTATATTGCTCTATTCTTTAAGAGCTAGTTCATACTATCTTTATAAACTGACTGGATTATACATCTTATGCTTGCAAATATGATCTAAATACTGTTGAACGTTTATGGATATCTGTAAATCAACTTAAATCTAGACGTTCGTATTATTTTATAGTTTTTTTAAAATTAATTTTCGTATGATTTAATATGTTTTCAGAAAAAAAACATAAGTGAACAATATTGTTTACAATTAGACGTTCATTAGGCCTTGATATACGATAATATTTACATGGATATATGAGAATATTAAACCAATCAAGGCAGTTTAAATAAATGATTACTAGAAAGTACTGATTTACAGTCTAATGGCATGTAAATAATCGTGATGAGATTTATTTCACTTCAATTAGTGTTTGCCATCAATTTTTAATTTACATTCTAAATAGAGGACTTGATGTACATTAAATCGAACATGGGAATTAAAATACTTCTGTTTTGATTCAGTCACATATCATTTGGATCATGTATTAAATCGTATTATTTCACTACATCCATAGTCTTCAATGCGATTTGGTTTAACTGCTGTTTCTATTAGAAAAACGATGACAACTTTTAACCAGTATTGTAAACTAGATGAAATGTGGCTAGCAGCGGAATCCAGGACACTTGTTACGTTCTATTTAGGATTCGTCAGCTGAATATACTTGAATCTCAGAGTTGATGCTCTGGATCTCGAACCTAGTACCGTTCGCTTCAAAAACCAACGTGTTATCCAAACCATTAAAAATTGAGTTAATATTGTCAATATTGAGATATGCTTTATGTAGATTTTAAGCTGTTTGTTTTATCCTATTGTTTATTTTTTACAGTTGTCTGTCTGAACAAGGAATTGATTATTGGTTGGTAAATAAAAGTGACGTGTGAGTCTGAATATGAATAATAAAAAATGCACAATGGGGTATTTTCAGAGCATTTCCCAACGGTTCACGTGATTGATCTTGATATCCTCTCATTATATCGCAAATTGACTGATGTTAGAAGATGAAAACTAATGAGATTTAATTTACCTCTGGATATTAATGTAATTTTCACGATAGCTGAAATTCTGTGGGATATCCTTTTTGAAAATGGCTCAACGAAAGCGCTTTTGAGTCATCCTAAATAAAGACTAGACAGTTGTTTTATGGTCTCTGTTTTTTAAAGACACTTCAGCCTATACAATCTTGTGATGAAGATTTCCACTCTGATTGTAGCACTTGCATCTAACAAGTGTTTAATCACCCTGAACAATTATCTTTTCTCAAAACATGGTGTATAGATAACAAATATCTTTTTTAGTATCTTGATAATAAACTCATCTATTAGATATATCCATGTTCAAAATTTTTCTTATCAGTGTAACATACTATTCTTATCTACCAGTAATATGGTTGACATATCTTCATAATGATAAATCATTGTTCTTCTTAACCGTATAGTACCGCTCAGAGACTCATTAGTTTCTAGATTCTCAAGGTCACTGTCGAAATCTCTTTGGCCAACAGAGGTAAAATGTGTGGAAAACATGTGTCGTGATGGTTGTATCAAGATAATATGTACAAGATATATAAATCCCAAAAACACTGATCACATTTCAGTTAAAATATCAACAACGAAATAATCCAAACTGTTACACCCAAGGACGCTTTTGTAAACATGCACTAACGAAGTATGGCGTTGAATTCATTTTTATTCTGATCATAAAAATAGATAGGCTCTTTTCATTAATACCTTGGATTTATTTCATGTTTTGAATTTCAATATCAGCAATTCTGCACTTGTCGCAAAACTTATGAAAATCTAATTCATACATTTAGCTACTTATTTCGTCATATACTTTTTAAAACTCATTAGTCAGCAGACTTAAATGTCATCAACATAGAGATTGGTGCAGATATGGACTGACCAAGCTACCATGCTAGATTAACGCGATGAGATAAAGCTAGCAAAATAGATAAATAAATAAATAGATAAATAATATAGTATCGATAGTAAAAAGAAAGTGTGAGCGTTTGTAACATAGTTTTAAAAGACAATGGAAAGGTATGTATAAAGAGATACTGAAATTTAAGATCAAGAGGAATATAAAAAGTGAATGCATTTACATCATTGTGATTGATTCTGAACTTTGTCATCCATTCTTTATCTGTTGATCGTGAATAACACGCGGACCTCAACGAGGTAGTCTGCATCTACCAACATGGATCATACAAATACTGCATAATTATGTGAACTGATGTCACGTTTTGTCTTGCTGGCCTTAGCTTAACTCATCGTGGTAGATGGCAGTTAGATAAATGTTTCATCTTCAGTTGATGGGGATCCACTGCCTCATCAACCTTTAGTAAGTAACCTATGCCCAACCTCAACATTTCTCACTCGGTCATTCCGAAAATGCGAGCAATGCTTTAAAAATACCTATGGTCAAGTACCTTCCGTCCGAGCATGTTTTCTGCCTTCATAGACCATGTTTCACAGCCGTAAAATAGAATCGAGCGAACTGCTGAACAGTATACACGCTCCCCCGTTGTGAGATGATTATCTCGCCTACTCCATTACATGAAGTCACGAAACGCCAGAAATACAATTTGTCTACTCATTGGATTATAACAAAAAATGTATTTATTACTAAAGCTTTTACGGGATTTTCCAGGAATCTTCCAGAGAAATACTTTTATGTTTGACACAAAATCAGTGGTACGATTTTGGTTTATTTGGATTGTTTTTAGTACGGATGGACTGCAAGCTGCACAAAAGAAAGCTGCTTTTATACAGTCTCTTAAAAATTTTCTGGGTATTGGGACTGGAATTTTCTCAACACTAATCATTGGTTACCTATCAGATAATTATGGTCGGCAATTGACGTTGGGAATTATAATATTAGGAGAAGCTTTACGAATTTTAGCTCTTGGTAGGTTATACAATAAATCTCTTAAATTATTTTTCTTTATTTTGTTACAGATTGGGCCGTGCATGAATTTACTAGAAGTCATTGCCTATTTCAGTGATGTTACAGCATGTAGACATTCGAAACATACTATGATTAGTTTTCAGTGAACCTATGTTTAAATCTGTCAAAGCAGACTTTCTATTGGTAGAATTACCTTACGCTTATCAGTAGTATATTGTGAACTAAGTGGACTAAACCACTTCAAAGTTAATTAGTTATCCTTTTCATATATTCATGTCCACACACGATTTGTAAGTTAGGGTGTCCGAAAATATACCAAAATAGCTATAGGAACAAATGAATTCAACTGACCCATTTAGAGCAGATTGATCTTAACTCAGCCTTTGTGCTTTCGTATAAAAATTGTCTGGGTCGGGTACTTAGGTTTGTTGATGACCTAACTGTATGGGATTTCAAACCCCTCTTGTGTGTTCAAAAACAATGTGCACTTACATCGAAACTGCTCTGGTAATATTGATTTATTATTCAATAGTGTGATTCACATTGGTTTCCTTATTATCTTCGTTTTTCTCCTATCTTTTGATTTGTCTAGTTAGTGTTTATTTGTCGTACATAAATGCTTTAACGTGTATATATGTGATTAGATCGTTCTAAATGTATTGCTCATATATATCACATATTTCTGATAAGCATCACCTCTTGATTGTATAAGTAAATTAAACAGTTAACCTACCACTTTACTACCGTCATTGAAAATTGCTAACTTAGGTGTGCAATACTTTGATATTCAAAATACCATGGTGTCCTACAATGCTAATTGTTTGGATTAATTTTCACACTAATTTAATTCTTCAAATGTATTATTCAGGAAAATCTGGAATCTTTTTAGACTGAATATATCATGCAACAGTTTGATTAAAATTTCAAAAGATTGGAATAACTGACTAATCTGTAAAAAAACACTTTCTTTTTTACCAGCAGTTAACAAGAATCTTTAACATCTTTATAATTAAGGTGAATAATCTTAACACCAATTATCGTAACAAATCAAACGAAGTTGACTTATTATCGTCACCTAGTTCAAATTAATTCAAAGTACGGATTGGAGAACTTTCCAAATCTACCATATGTGTTTAATTATGCATACAGTTGTTGGGGCCCGTATACGTTTACTAGTACCTTAGAGATATAGTCATTTAATTGCTTTCGGAACGAAAATCTCTTTATTAGTAATGAAATAAAAGGACTAATAGTATATTGCGATTAAGTGGAAAGAAAACAAATTCGCAATCGTACACAAGCAATTACAACACAATAAGTCACACAAGCTAACAGTCAAAGTCGGGACATTTCTCACATAACCATTCGAGCCTAAAGAAGAGGATGTGCCATTCAGAATGCATCACTGATGGCACTAGTGTTAAAGGACCATCATTTTTGTCTAACTTACAGACTACCACATTTTGACCTTATGTTTATCGTACATTAGACAGTTAACAACCAGTTTTTTTATAATCATTCAATACTTAGTGAAAATTGTTCACTTACCTTCCGTTTATTATTATTAATGGCTTTATTCAGTATTATATGCTTAGTAGAATATAGAATTCTCAGCAAAAGGTATTTTAACAGGTTCCTTTTACAACAAAAGGTGATAACTGGATACACATAAACATAAATTAAGTAAATAAACTACTGAGAATTAAATGAAATGCTTTTTATTAAGATTGAGATCTGCACAACTTTTTAATTAGAAACATGTTTAAGAATACAAGTTAGTGACTAGGTGAACTCTAACAACTTGTTTATCACAGTATATTTGCTAGATAAGACATTGTAGAGCTTTTATGTCTTTGCTTGAGTGCATCGACCGTAATGCATTTTTGCGCCTTGTTTTACTAGGAGGTATACAAGGAGAACGATATGAATAAAGTGGGTGGTTACTATTTGATAACACTTCTTAGGGGTTTGCAAGATTTTAAATATCTATCCGTAACCATATTAATAATGACTTGAAACGATTCACACACTTTGCTAACTGCCTTCCGCACTCCCCGCAATACACTGAAATCTTTTCTCAAAAACCTGGGAAAGTATAATCGGGAGCAGTATAAAAATAATATTATACAGGTACTAAGAAATCGCAAAAGTAAATGCAGCCCCTTTATATAATAAGTCAGATGGCAAACTTTCTTCGATAACTAAAACATAAGAAGAACAAGAAAGACCAGAGGAAAAATTCACACCAAGATAAATGACCATTGACACGGTTTTCACTACAGAATCTCTAGAAGTGAAAGCGTTATAGGATTCCAAAGGGGTGTTTGAGTGCTGTTCGTGCCCCAGAATAAAGTTAACACTTTGACATTCAGACGGGTTAAGTGTGCGATCACCAACAACAGGTTATTGTTCAACAAGAGACGAGAACTCATTCATTCCAAGTGGATGTGGAGAGGTAGATATCGAGATCGTCCGCATATTCAACAAAAGTGCTTCCTGTGGGAAATAGCAGGTCATGCAGGAAAACAGAGAAAGGAACAGGGTAAAGAAATACTCCTCGTGGAACACTTTCATGAATTAGTGGAGATGTTGAACACTTTTCTCCAAACACAGTGTACCGTTCTCTTCCAGAGAGATAGAAACACAGCCAGTTGGTTATCCAGCTTTCAGTGTTGATTTTGACAAACTTGTTAAGTACTAGTTGTCATGGCATAGGGTCAAAGGCAGAAGTATAGTCTAGAAATGCGCACCGAACATCTTTCTTACCCTTTTTCAACTATATTGTATTGAAAGACAACAACAGCATCTGTGTCACTCTTTTGCAATCAGCATTCTCACTCATCCTCATATGAAGAAATCTAACAATATAAGTTATACGTAATTATATTTGACCGGCTCCTCTTATTACTTATTTTTCTATGCCTGTTAAAGGTATTATCGTATTTTTCAATTTTTCTCCCTGGAGTTTGATTGTATCTGAATTATTAGAAGGATCTATTGGCGGTGGATTGTTATCAATTTCAGCACAATTATTTGCTTGTATAGCTGATCTAACCCAAAAATCACCTAATGAAATAGTAGTAATATCCAATGAAAATATGGATTCAGTAACTCAGGCAAAAAGATTAGTAAAAAAACGTTGGCTTTTATTTACTTTACTCGATGGTGTAATCACTTGTGGTATGGCATTTGCAAATGCACTAACAGGTAACAATTTAACATATGTTAAATCAATATTAATTTTTACAAAGTATTTCGTTTCAAGCGGTAGTTTCATAATTGATTAGAAATACAGTTTTTTTTCATGAAAAAAGTCTAATCATTACATAATGTATATATTATATAATTTTGACTAGGTAATTCACGGTAGTTTTCCTTATTAGGGACTAGTGTATAATGTGTTCCTCTTTTGATCAGTGATCACATGGAGAGTATAGGCATTTGTGCCGTTTTCTACGTTGTCTATGACTAATTTACTCGATCATGTTAAACACGGTTTCGTTACTTTTTAGATTTTATCACTGTTGTTTATGATTAAAATTTAACAAATAAAATAGCATAATTCAGCTATTTAAGTTGTAATTTTATTGTAGGACAGAATAACACAAGCTCATCGGTAGCTCGATAGCAAATAAATGTTTTCTGTAATCGTAAATGTTTAAACAGCTTCTACTGAACACTGTAGACTAGATAAAATTATTAACAAAACAATTTTTTCTGTTCCCCTTATTACTGGGTGTTTATCTTATGTACATTGGTGTTTCTGTTATCTTTTACAGGTTTCATGATTCAACATTATCGTTTCTACATAACAATGCTAACTTGTATAGTCTTTCTTATTCCTTCAGTAATTACTTTATTTCTCGTACCTGAAACAAGTGTGAAGACAATACAAGTTGAACAGACAGAAGATATTGAAAATTCATCCAATGAATTATGCATTACGGCTCCAGCAGTTCATAATGAAACTAGTAAGCATCAAGAGTCCTCTAGTAATTATTCAGTCCACGTACAATCTGAAAATAGCTGTATGAATAAGCTACAAGTAAGAGAGTTGTTGTAAATTATGCATTATACTTTCAGTGCATTACAACCTCCTGTTAGTATTTTAAAAGGTTAATTAATATTATTTGGTTGACAGTATAGTTGACTTGGCATTAGCTTACTAGTTCAGATCATAGCATCAGATCCTACCTTCATCATCTTTACATCTAATTCTAAGAAAGTAATTCATAGACTAAATGATAATAATAATTAAATTAAGCTACTACAATGTTCGCGTTCATAGTGCTTTTATGTACAGAACCTCTTACTTATCAGGTAATAGAAAGTAATCACGTATAGTTAACTTGAAAACAAACAGTGTTCATTGGACAATTATTTTAAAGTTTTTGATAACAAATATGAATGTTAGTCTGGCTGTTTAAATAACCTTTGTAAAGTGTGATAAATATACCCGAACACAACGGGTATTTTACCATCGTATGATGTCACTTAAACTTTGGAATTAAACTCCATGTAATTTACATGTACTAACGGTTTTCTAAATAATAAAATTGTGACTTTCCAACATAAATACTGCTTTGTTAATTCGAGTTTGGAGTATACATACATCGCCACTCAGTTAAGTATTTTTTAAAACTAAGTTTAATAAATCTTTCAGTTACAAACAGTAATAAATGCGTTTAGTTGACCTCATTTTCTTGAAACTGACATGTTCATATCCAAGTACATACGTATCTAAGAAACAGTCAAGACCTATTGATCCTTCGGAATGATCATGAGTGATAGTATTTTTATGTACGTGTCTTTATTAATAATCTAATTTTAGCGACTATCAATCTAGAAAGTCATTTAAACTGTGAATATACCTGGATCGGTAATTAGTCGGAACGATAATGATTCAAAACTTTGTGTGTGTAGATATTTCTCACTATATTTCTTCATGATTTTATATAATCCTTTTAGTTATATGTAAGTGCTTTTGAATTGCTTTTCAGATTATATCAAAACTACCTCGTACTCATATAGTAATAATTGTCATTATTTTCATGTTTTCCATCTCTGGTGTGACGGATACACAATATTTATTTCTTTACTTAATGAGTGGTCCTTTTATGTGGGATGCACAAGTAGTTGGTTTATTCACGTAAGTTTACGTGTACTGGAGTGTATTTCAATTTTTAATCTAGTGTTTGGTAACTTTAGGAAACTGATTTTCTAAGCATTGTGATTCATGAATTATATGTCTATATCCTATTAGTCATTTCAGCGATACGAACTTCATCAGTCAAAACGATTTGTCATTTTTGCTCTGTTTTACTTTCCTCACATGTGCTTAAAGCTCTTGTTCAATCACTGACGGTTTTAGACCAGGCTTTACAACCAGTATTGACGTCAGATGTTTTGCAGTGATAGTTTACTGTATACTAATTCTGAATGTATACCTTTTTCGTATAGTAATTTCTTTCATACAACTAAAGCCCTGTAGTTGCGAAAGTTTTGTTTCAATTGAAATATGGGTTTTTTTGGGGGAGGGGAGGTTTATTTTCGAGGGTCTCAAATTTAAACTTTATTTAATTAAGAAATGAATCTCAAAGTAAAAATATGACAGAAAATCAACCAAGTAAATGCCTAATTTCTTAGTTGTCTGTTTTGTTATTTCCAGTTTGATAAATAATAATGTAAAGTGAATTCATCTAATATAGGAAAGAAAGGAGCACTAGGTTTTATTGTCATCTAAATGCTCATAATGCAATACGTTCAGTAGTGGTGTTTATGTTTCCCGAAGACTCGTCTCATGTATTTGTATCTTTCGTATATTGGTTTTATTTGACGCCCCAAATATATTGTTCTTTCCCCCCTCAAACCCCATCATCGAGTAAAGTTAAATACCTACATTTTTCTATCATTTTGAAATCACACCTATCACATAAGATATATATTTCGTAGTCCAGATTTAATACATGGCAAAATGAGGCTTTTCAGCACAATTTTCAGGGATCCGAAAACGAATTCTTTACTAATGTTATAATTCTCTCTTATTACAACCCAGCTATTCCTATTTCTTATTATTTTTGGACACCAATTCACTCGACAACTTCCTAAATGAGAACATGGCTGAACAGGAAGAAAATTATATTCCAACTAATAAGGGTAGATGGAAGTAAGAAGCATAATAAAATAAATGTTAGTATATTTATAGTTTTAACATGAGAAGATTCTAGAGTCTTATTGGATAAATGATATTCAAGTAATCAACAGTTTAGCTAGAGTCTGTCATATGGTCTAGTGGTCATAACGGTGTAGTGAACAAGAACACGAGTGGGGACAACCGAATATATTTGACACGCAATTATAGAGCATCTCACAAAAATCTGAGAACCATTTAGTAAATCGGTAATTTGCAAAATATCAATCCATCGTCTCAAACTTGACTGTTATATTTGCAAACATCAGTCCATTGTCTCAGATTTCATTGCTCATGCATTTTCACACCAATTGCGTTCCGTCCTCGTTCTTTTCTGCTCGATCTTCTACTGAAATACATTCTGTGCCTGACCACCGTTATATACTGCTTGTGTGGATATATGTAACCCACACCACAACGGTACAAAGAAATATGCGAATTGCTACTGTTCTAATAACATTGTCTGTTAAGTAAGTTAATAAAAGGGCTTAACCAAAATTAACCATAATCAAAATTGGTTGTAGAATAGTTGTTATATATAACTTAAAACAGTTGTGAAATACTTTTGTATAATGTTGAGATATTTTGTTAATTTTGTTAGCATGGTGTTCAACCTATCCACTACTCAGTTGTGTTTAGATTGTATATAACAAGTAAAACAATTTCATCCCTATGTCCTAATTCTAAAACCTTAATTCTGAAAAAAAAACTTAGTCCAATTGTACTGTATTTCATGGACGAACTAACTAGATCTAAAATAGCGCTTCTTTGGATTTTTGAGTGAAATTCATTCATCCATATGACTACATAAAACTTTAGCATTATGGTTGGTATTCGTTCGTGACAGAAACTTTAATCCTAAACATAAAGAATACGGGGACTCTTAAAAATCTGTTTTTATTTTTGAGAAAACGAAGAATCTGTATCCGTACGGCCAAATATAAATGTCGTCGTTTGTTCGATTTACAGAGAGTAACCTGTATAAGATGTTAATAGATTCATTCATTCATTCATATGTAAAATCTATGTACGCTCTCGTAGTCTTATTGTTTTCTTTTCCATGAACTATCCATTTACAATAGATGATTTCTGATTAGCTAAAACCTGGATAAAAATTCCTTTTGATTATCTAAGCTCATCCATTTGCTATACCCTCATCATATTTCCTTCATCTTCATTATTCTATATAAGATAGTGAGTACATCTAATTGTTCCTTTATTTGGAATCCAAACATTTGGTCCTTCAAATTTTCTGTTTAAATATGTGGTAGATGTTTCAGGAGAATGAAAACTTTTATTCGAAAATTCATTCTTAGATTTAGTACAGTCCCTTTTTGTTAGTATAGTGCGAAGATGGAGTTCATTTGAAAAATATGTATTTGCACCATATATTTCGAACAATCTGACCATACTTATACTTGTCAAGGCATTTTTACACATGAAAACTAATAAAGGTCAATTACATGAAAGGTTGAATAAATATAACTGTTGATTAAAAATATAAGACGGAAAAATAATATTTAAACGCAAAGAATGTTTAAACAAACAACTTTCATCAATAACTTCATCATCAAGCTCTACAGCTATATATCCATAATTATTGTGTTAGAATGGTCAAAATGACTAGTATATAAATGTAATTAAGATAAGAGATTCATAGGAATTGAGTAGATTGAATGTTCAAATCAATCATGAGACGGCAGAGATTCAAGGTAAGCGTCTATTATATCCTTTAAGTATAGGATGATACATTCATAGCCCATGGTAGATAAGGTAGTCGAATGTGCACCTCTTTTCGATACAAAAGTTCGATTTTTTTGGAGATAATTTCGATGAAATCCGTTATTTATGCGAACTGTAATTTTACTCGTTTAATTAGATAAATCAGGACTTGATACAAAACCGAGAAAATTTCATTTATTTCGGTATCTATTAAGTGAAAAAGTATGGCTCTGTTGGTTGATTTCGTGATTCTTTTTCTAGCCATACTGGTACTTGTTCACAACCACATCTGGTTTTTAAACCTATATGGAATCATGGGCTTCATTGTTTCAGTTGCATTCAATTTTGCAGCATTTTACATTTTTACAATGACTGTTTTTGTTTCGAAATTGTGCTATTTGATTCTCCTCTAGAAGGTGATGCAATGTAAACCCTTTTTCAATATTGGACGATGAAGGGGTCTCGGTTTTATTAGACTTTTACACGGATTGGTAAATTTCACTTTTGTTTCTATCGTCGCTTTTAAATCCCCTTCAATCGTACCCATGATGTAAATCCATATCATTACTAGCTTTTCTCAATGTACTCTGTTTTGCGCCCACCTTTAGTGGAGGATGCCGTTCCTACTCACTGCCTTCTCTCGGCAGGAGTGTTGTTTACGAAGTTGAGAGGACGAGAAGCGAGTGTTCAGCCCTGAGACCGGGTTGTTGCATACGGGATATCCACTTAGAAGTGTAGAACAACCCTGATTCCAAACCAATGGTGCACATGGATTCCAGAATCTTAAGGTAACAAACAGGGTTTGAACTTGTTCTTGATTTTTGGCGACCATGAAGTCGCATTTCTTAATGTTGTTCCACTGCTTTTAGGTCAAAGGCGCGGTGAGTGGTCACCTAAGAAAACTGCCTGTTTCCGTTTGAGCAACCGAGCAAGTATCACAGTCGCCCCTCCCCATGGATTTTGTGTGGCACGTATATATTCTAATGCCCTTTTGTACCAACGTTTATGTCCTTATATAAATAAATAATTGTGAAGGATATGGTGTTCTACAGAGATTATAGTTCACTTTTGCTGATTATTGTCAATAAACAGAAAATTTTACTTTTTACCAGAAAATATTAACTTTTAATATTTCTGAGTATTATTATATTGATAGTTACACTTGTATTATAACTTATACCTCAAAATATGTTCTTTTTTTGTTCAGAGGTTTAAGAGATGTATGCTGCACATTTGTATCTGTATTATGTGTCAGTACGATGGTCAAGTTTCGTAAAGATCAACCAACTAATCATGTTGAAGTAGTATCAATATCAAATAGAATGAATACAACATTATTTAGTCGTTTAAAATCTGTGGATCAAATTCTTCTCATTATGTTGGTATTTTTTGGATTTATAATTTTTTCTATTTATCAAATCATTATGGGCATAGCTTGTACATTCACTGTTCCAACAGCAAATATTCTGGTTTATTTCGGTATGGTTTTTTTTTGTCGAATATCTATTTACGTTACCATTGCTTTCAATACTTAGTATGAAAAACATAAATCACATAGGCTTAATCAATGTTACAAAATTCAATTTACATCTTTCATCTGTTCTAAGATGTTTTTCTCGTTAATAGGTAATCATTGGATTATTCTATAAATGACCTGATATCCATCGATTAATTGATCACTATTTAGTTTTGTTTGTACCGTTTATTGCTTTGAACTGTTTGATGATATGTGAGTTATTATGGCTGTAAAAACATGAATGAAGTATTCTATCTAAGACGATTATTGACTATCAATTGTAATTCCTATATTAATGCTAGTTTAGTTAGCATCATTTGGTATTCAGTAGTTAGTTGATGTGTTTGTTGAGTTTTATTCGATCTAACGAACTCTCTGCCCTCTGTTTAAAAAAAACCTAGTAAACAAGTACTTATAAGTACACTGAAAATATACAGAGATACAGTCAGTACTACATATGTCACTGAAAAGTGTTTCCCATGATCACCATATGTTCAATGAACATATTGTGTATTCATAACTAAAATGGTCCGCATTTTCCTGTTGTCAGTATTCATGATATACATATTCAATTAACAAATGTATATACTAAATAAACGTTGAACAATCCGATACTGAATCCTCTTAACTAGAAGGTACAAATGTTTCAACTAATATTATTTGTGAAAACTTACAAGTCTGTGCTCATGGATTTCCGTTTATTTGAAATTGATTAATACATTAATTAGATTGATTTTTGTATGTTTTTCCTTGTTAGGTGTACTATCGATTCATTGACTACATATATTAGATAATTCGAATGTACCTAGAAAAATATCTAGATAATTTTGTGCTTATTTATCGCTTATTTTCCTGTTATATGTAAACTTAAAAAAGCATTCTAAATGGTTTTATATTTTGTCATTATTATTAGAAAGGGTTTCAATAATCCCTGTTGTTGATCTTTTAGACTGAAATTCATCAGTTTTTGTTGGTTTATGTGCATTCCGTGCGGATTGCCTCGAGATTGTCATTTTTCACAAGTTTTATCGAACAGATGAGTTATTGCTAGTAGTGAGATCCACGACATGCGTTTTGTTCTGTTTAGGACTCGTCAGTTGGATACACCCGTTTATAAAAATTCAATTATGTTTATCAACAGCGGAGTAACCCAAACTCTCACTAGTAATAGTATGAATATAATATCGATAGAGGAAGTTATTAGCTATAATTAGCTCAGTGGATAACACGTTGAGCGTTTGAGTCAAAAGTACTGGGTTCGAGTCTCAGTGTAAACATTAGTAGTGCGATGCAAACACATCATCACTATTCTTTACCATCATTCTCTCTTCCCTTTTTTATTGTTTATAATCTTTTCCAATATTCTTTATATTTTAAGTCTGTTCCTCTTTGTTTACTTTTATCATACAGCTACAATTCCAAGATTTGTTAAAGGTTTTCAAATATCCATACTTCGAACTATTATATCAAAATGGACAGAAGTCTCTAAACAAGGTGATGATTATATATCGATTATATGTTTTATTTATTTTAATGGATTAGTTTTTTCCTGATGAATTATTACTGTTCAATTCGTCAAACTATGTGTACTGTGTTCGTGTTCAGTTCACAGAACTAACCTTCATCAAAATGTTTGTATTAAAAATGAAAATATAGTGTTACAAAACATAAAGTTTTGGATCGTAGGTTTGTTTTTAATGTTCACTTAAGTTTACGTGTGTTGTGTCCATGCTATCACATGAGCATTGAAACCTATGTATAATGATACTTTTATAAGGTGATTGTGTAGCCTTCAACTTATGAGCTTGATTCACAATACAATGCAGTAATATAAAACAGTCTAAAACGAAATTTAGTCAATTAAATCGCCTCTTTTCTCAATAAACTTTGGCTTTTAAATTAAATCTAGTGTGATATTTTGCAGAAGAATTCCTCCGGGATTTTAACTTGTAGCACTGATTCGCTGCTGTGTCTTTTAGTGAAAAATCCTATGCTTCAATGTGTGTATTCTTGATTGTCATATGAGAATATCACAGGCACTTAATGGGACGCTACTAATCTCTTCTCATGCTTCATTTATATGAGATGATAAGATTGATCGGATTTCGTTATGGTATTAAGAATTTATTTTCACTACAAGTCATGAATGTCTGTGATGGTCATATTGAAAACATTTCTATTAATAATTCAATTTGAAATTATTTGACTTATTCTGTTGTTGAACTTTGATCAGCCTTTGTTGCTTTATGTAAATTCTGTTCGCATTGCTTTGATATAGCCATTACAACACAAAGCATTTGTTTAGGAATTATTTAAGCTATGTATGTCTAATTTACTGAACACCTAATGTTATCACAAAATTGTCGCGTTCCAGTTTTCCTAAGAAACAAACTGGGCTTTTCAAGGTTAGTGTTGTGGATGCGCAGGAATAGACCAATAATTATCATGTTAAGTTCAATGGTGTCCTTGGACTTTAAATGGACATTTCCTATTGGTCGATATCTGTTCACTTGTTGAATATTGTACAAAATGTTGTTTTCTATTTTTATGGTACGCTGTGGTATGCTTGACTAGTATATAAACAAAGTATGTTTGAAATATAGTGATTCATATCTCCGAGGCTGTGACTTGTGTTCTGGACTCAACTGACTGGGCTAGACAGGGAAGCGAGACCAATAGAGACTCTAGGCCGTCCGTACGTTTTACGTGTCATTGAATCGATCGATAACACAGGGTAAAAATCTGAACCACAACTTAAATTCATAACAATTGGCGACGGGGATGGAGAAAAATTTTGAACCTTGTAATTGGATGAGATTCAGGCTAATTGTTTCGACCAATCAGCATCCAAATTGTCACCAGCGTCCTTGAGCAACATTGGTCATTATTCCTACAGTTAATTTTCATTGCAGGTGCTGAAAAAAATGACTACCTTTTCCGATCGATTACAGCTTCTACTTGAGCAACAACAGCAGTGCTTCAAAAATAGCCAGTTAAATTTTTTAGAAAATTTACGCACACTGTTGGTAAATCTTCCATGTTTCCGAGATGGAACAGAAGTTGGCAAGTTCATTTCTCATCTGCAGACTGAGCTGGAAAACAACTGCAGAACATATGAAGCTGTTTATAAAAGCCTCTGTGAATCCCGGACGACCAGTGATATAAACGAGACAATCATTCATGATCCGCCCAGTTGTCCAGAAATGTCAAATTCAGAAACATTCCCTGTTGTGGGTTCGAATCCCACTGTGCCTGAAACATGTGAGGTATCCAGCTTACAAGAAGAACCTCTCGTGCCAGAAAATGTTTCCCGTGCATCAAATAATGGTCAGAAATCTAATATGAATTTCAAAGATGCTGTTTGTTTTAGTGACCTATTATCCAGTGACAGAATTTTGAAGAGGTCTGAAGAATATGTTGCACAAGAATCAAACCTTAATGACCTCATGTCTGGTGTCGCTAATCCTCATCACCTAGTCAGTTTTAGTGGACCCTCTACTCAATGCGCGAAATATGCTTTAATTCGAATCAGACTAACTGTTACTTGGGTATATGAGGACCCAACGTTATTTCGTGGGGGAGGATGAACCCAGAAAATTTCAAAATCCGGATATCAACTCCGGATCTTCAAAAAAAAGGGGGGGTGTTGTGGATGCGCAGGAATAGACCAATAATTATCATGTTAAGTTCAATGGTGTCCTTGGACTTTAAATGGACATTTCCTATTGGTCGATATCTGTTCACTTGTTGAATATTGTACAAAATGTTGTTTTCTATTTTTATGGTACGCTGTGGTATGCTTGACTAGTATATAAACAAAGTATGTTTGAAATATAGTGATTCATATCTCCGAGGCTGTGACTTGTGTTCTGGACTCAACTGACTGGGCTAGACAGGGAAGCGAGACCAATAGAGACTCTAGGCCGTCCGTACGTTTTACGTGTCATTGAATCGATCGATAACACAGGGTAAAAATCTGAACCACAACTTAAATTCATAACAGTTAGGTTGTTTGTTGTTTCCAGTTCACAGGGTAAGTTGAAGTTCACAAATTAGTTTAATAACTGTAACCTTTTTCAATCGGTCATACGATATGGTTGTCAGTTATTTATTTAACTGTTTTAGGATAGTTAACCTTCTGTTTACATAAAATTTAGTTGTTTTTTCTTGAAATTTATTCACCCCCGTTTAATTTTCTTAACATTCCCTTTAGGTATGGTAATGTCTGTTATTGCAGTAATGGAACGCCTTGGGCTTTTGATCAGTGTTGTAGCTCTACCAGTTATATACGCTGCAACAGTTAGCACTTTCAAAGGATCGGTATTTTTCGTTTGCGCCTCTTTTACAATTTTGGAAGCTTTAATAGTCTTGTAAGTGTCGTACAAGAAAAAGGACAATTTGTTTTATGTTTTAAAATTCTACAATATTACGGATTCTTACATTCCATCAATGTTTCAAATTCTCTGTTATGCGTGATGATGTGGTCCATTTCAATTCACAGCCGTCTGGTATATCAAATCGGATGCCGAAAAGGGTGTCATATAACTATTTTCAGTCAATTAGTTAGTGTAGTACATCTGGTTCCCAATTGTTGAATGAATAATCCAGATAAACGTTTTAGACGACATAAATTGGTAGACAATCAAATTACAGTCAGTAAACAATCACATACTTTCGATATAATTTACTTTCGTTAGTTAATCTATCCTCTTAGTAATTAAATAACGTGCGACACAGTCATGATTAATTTTTTCTATTTTGTAATTAATGGATGGAGTACAATGGTATGTAAAAATTAAGTTTGTTCAATTTATAGTAAGCTTTTAAAATCTATATTAGACCTCAGATTACATTCAAGAAACATGAATACCGTATTTCTTTTCACGGCAGGGGTGTTGTTTACGAAATTGAGAGGACGAAGAGCGAGTGTCTGGCGCCGTAACTGCGTTGGTGGATATGGATAGTTGGAGTTGGAAAACCCTGATTCCAAACCAGTGGTGCACATGGGCTCTAGGATCCTAAGGGAACATATGGAACTCACAACAACTGTCTCTCAACCAACAATAAATTCAGAATATTCAGTATGAACGTGAAGACGGTTTTACCGTACGGAGCTGAAACTTGGAGAACTACCACAACCATCATCGAAAATGTACAAGTATTTCTAAACAATTGTTTGCACAAGATACTCAGTGGCCGTTGGTCGGATACTATCAGCAACAGCATATTGTGGGAGGGGACAAACCAACTTCCATCTGAAGAGGAAATTAGACAAAGACGTTGGAAGTGGATAGGGCCCACATTGAGGAAATTATCAAACTGCATTACGAAGCAAGCCCCAACTTAGAATGGTGGAGAGAAACGGGAAGGAGGAACGTTAACACACTGCGCCGAGAATTGGGAGCAGATATGGAAAGGATGAATAGCAACTGGAGACAAGTGGGAAGGATTGCTTGTGACAGAGTTGGGCGGAGAATGCTGGTGGGCGGCCCATGCTCCTCCACGAGGAGTAACAGGCGTAAGAAAGCAGAGCTACGTTGAAAACCTAGTTGAAATGAAATATATTTTCTCTTTATTCATCTTTTTACTTTGTCCTAATGAGAATTCTCAGTCGCCAATGAATAGACAAATTATTTTCCGAAGCTGCTACCTTGACGCGGTGGTCGGGCTTGCCTATCGTGATGACCCAACCGAGCTATATTGGCTGGAACATATGTTCCTGTAGGTTCTACCATGCCAGGCAGGTCGATTGGAGAACGGTAAGACTAAAAGCAGCAACTCAAGGTCTGAGGGCGAAGTCGTACTGCTGACTGTAGAGGGGTGTGACAGCAGTAAGGTGTTTCCCTCGGACAACCAGCATGACAGCGATGCTGCCTTCCCACAAGGAGGGGTGGGGTTAGAAAAGGTCGACCCTAAAAATGTCACACCTCACCTTACCTCACGGATTTCCGTCTCCGGCGGTAAGGCCCTTTGAAGAACGGAGCTAACACGTTAAAAACCTTCCACAAAAAGGCCGTGCGCGACCGGCCTCAAGCAGTTGTCCCTTGGGCTCTGCGGTCACGCTCCCAGGTCGTCAAGACCAACACTAATCCAATTTCCTTTTCAGGTTCCTCAAGAAATACCCTTCCACGGTGTGGGCAGCCGGGAAGTGACATCAGCCCTCATACCCGTAACAGCACAAGAGACCAAGGTGGTCACATTCAAATCCTTCCTACACCTCCTAATACCTCTCTTATCTCCATGACTAACCCTCCTCACGTCTCTTTATCACCTCGCACCGCTAGGGCAAACGATTCGAGTACGTGGAACGCCATTCCTGGTCTCCTGAAACCACGCTCTAAACTACACGTAGGAGCTTTTAACGTACGAACACTTTGCCAAATAGGACAGCAGGCTTCCTTAGCTAAAACTTTAGAATCTCGCGCCATCGATGTGTGCTGCGTCTCCGAAACGCGCATACAGGATCCGAGTAGCGTCATTCATTTGACCTCACCATGCCAAAATAAAGAACCGACTCGATTTACGCTTCGTGTATCTGGAAGCCCTGATTCTGCTTCCCGTGGCCTCGCCGGCGTAGGTATAGCATTGAGTCCTAGGGCAGAACTAGCTCTCTTAGAGTGGATCCCAGTAGACAGTCGTTTGTGCGCTGTCCGACTGAACGGAACAGTAAGAATCCGGAAAGATAGGGACACTCGTCGTTGCCTCTTCGTCGTCTCTGCCTATTCTCCCACTGACTGCAGCTCAGATGATGTAAAAGATGAGTTTTACAGAAAGCTTTCGGACCTTCTCCGAAAAGCTAGGCGCTCGGATGTAGTAATAGTGGCCGGTGACTTTAATGCTCAAGTAGGTAAACTAAGCGATAGGGAAAGACACCTAGGTGGATCTTATGGTGTCGTGGCTCAAAGAACAGATAATGGCGACCGTCTGTTGCAGCTATGCTCAGATAACCGCCTGTTCCTTGCAAATACTAACTTTAAGCATAAGGAAAAACATCTTTTAACATGGCGACCCCCTAATTCGTCCCAACGTTGGACCCAAATAGATCACATCGCTATCAGCCACCGATGGAGGGGCTCGATAGAAGACTGTCGCTCATTCTGGAGCACATGCCTAGATTCAGATCATGCTCTAGTGCGAGCGCGTATTTGCTTGCGTCTTACTGGACGTAGGAAAGACGCTGCAAGGAAACCTCTTAGGGCCTACTTAATGATAGTCAAGCTAAGAGTATATTTCAGGAACAACTAGGAAAACAGTTAGGCAGCCATGTATGTGATGCCCACCCCGATGCAGCATGGAATGATATCCGAAAAGCTGTGGAAACAGCAGTGATATCTGCTAGTAAGGTAAACCAGAAGGTTAGGGAGCAACACTGGATCTCAGCAGCATCTATCGCACTGATAGATGCTCGGAAACTCATTCCACCTGGCTCTGAACATAATGAAGAGCGGAGTCAGCTTAAGCGCAAGCTGACAAGAAGTCTACGCAATGATCGCGAACAGTGGTGGGTAGCGAAAGCAAGAGAGATGGAAAAGGCAGCGGCAATAGGTAATAGCAGACAATTGTTCAGACTCGTTAAGGAAACCGGAATTAGGAACCCGACCGTTAGCGAAACAATCTCAGAGAAAGATGGACATATTATTCATTCTCAATCCAGGAGATTGGATCGATGGGCAGAACACTTTAGGGATCAGTTCAACTGGCCTTCAGCCACACTTCGGTTTCCCACGATCTCCAGTCAACCTGAATGGCAAGTTAATGTAGGTCCTCCAGTCTTTACGAAGTTGAAAAAGCCATAGGAAATCTGAAACGAGGGAGAGCAGCAGGCCCTGACAGGTTTACTCCTGAGATTTTTAAGGATGGTGGTCCAGTATTAGCAATGAGATTAACTGAATTTGGGAACTGGACGTAATCCCATCTGACTGGTCTCAATCACTGATTGTGCCAGTTTTTAAGAAAGGACAAAAGTCCTCTTGTGACAATCACAGAGGAATCAGTTTGACTAATATAGTGTCTAAAATATTAGCTTCAATAATACTTCGACGCCTAACAAAGCTCGTGAAGAGCAGACTAGAGAAAACCAGGCTGGTTTTCGACCTGGACGTGGTTGTATAGATCAGATATTCACACTACGTCAGGTTCTAGAACACAGACACACATTCAGACGCCCCACAATGGTAGTATTTCTCGACCTTAAGGCGGCATTCGACTCTGTTGATCGTGAGGTTCTATGGCAGTGTTTGTCACTGAAAGGAGTACCAAAGAAGTACATTAACCTTATAAAGGCTCTCTACTCGAACACAACTGGTCGAGTGAGAGCTTATGGCGAACTGTCATCAGAATTGATTACCTCAAGTGGTGTTCGTCAGGGCTGTCCACTCTCCCCATTCTTGTTCAACTTTGTGGTCGACGTACTTTTAGAGATAACACTCTCCTCATCTAAATTTCCAGGGGTTGAACTTCTACCGGGAGGTTCACTTGTTGACTTAGAATATGCTGATGACATAGTTTTATTTGGTGAAGACGCTGACAAAATGCAGAGTCTTCTGACCACTCTAAGCAACAATGCAAGCATGTTCGGGATGCGATTCTCTCCCTCGAAATGCAAAATGTTGCTTCAGGATTGGGTTACATCGACACCCGAACTAGTGATAGGGAGTGAAGTAGTTGAGTGTGTCGACCGCTTCACTTATCTTGGAAGTCTCATCAGCCCTTGTGGTTGGTGTGTGACGAAATCTCAGCACGGATACAGAAGGCTCGACTAGCTTTTGCCAACTTGCGTCATTTATGGCGTAGGCGAGATATCCGTCTATCAACCAAAGGACGGGTTTACTGCGCAGCAGTTCGTTCCGTCCTACTTTATGGCAGTGAAACATGGCCGGTAAGAGTAGAGGATATTCGTAGGTTACTAGTATTTGATCATAGGTGTCTTCGAAATATTGCTCGTATATCATGGGACCATCGAGTAAGTAACACAGTTGTTAGGAAACGGGTACTAGGTAAGGATGGCAAATCAATTGATGACGTAGTGAAACTTCATCAGTTGAGATGGCTGGGACACGTGTTACGTATGCCCAACGACCGACTGCCTCGACGTGCGATGGTATAGGAGTAGGTTGGAAGAAAGCTAGGGGCGGCCAGACCAAAACATGGCACAAGTCCATGAAGTCACTGACAAGTGAACTGAGTCATGTTGGTAGGTGTAGACTACCTGGTTGGGGACCGCGAGATGATAGCAACCGATGGTTAGAGACCCTGAATGACATGGCTCAAAATCGTTTGCAATGGCGCAGGTGCATCCACTCTCTGTGTTCTCCCAAATTCTAATCTCCTTATTCCTCATTGTCTCTTTTTTCCTCTTTCCAAATTTATTTCACTGGATTATACTCTTTAAATAACATCTCCAAACCCTAATCTTCCCGATTACTGCTTATACTCTTATTACCTCTACCACTACGGGATTTGAATCGATCACTGCATCTCTGTGCTAATGTGGTGTGGCAACTCGAACTGATGTACGTACGTACGAAGTTCTACGTTGTGACTGACTGAATCTTATCATATTTTTTTTTAGAAAACTATCACTATATTTATTGATAAATTTCTGTATTATACTTGTAATTTTTTTGCAAGTTTTCGTCTTTAGTAATTAAATGTTCGTTGTGTAATTGAAGAAATAAAGTAATATTTTTAATTAGTTAATTAAATAATCTCTGTTTATACTGTTAACATCAAACGTTTACTCCGAATGATTAGGATTTATTCTTTCCTCAGACAGAAAGAGAGAGAGAGGAGTAGTGCTTATCGATCAGTACTGACTGGAAAATGGTATACAAATATACATTTTATTTGTTGAAAGCTAAGTGCATGAACTACTGAACTAACTCTTCATCACAGTTACCAATACCTATTTTTTTATATTCAATAAATATACTGGATTATAGTCATACTCTTATCCTGATTTGTTTTCCCTATTTTTAGAATTTTACCAGTATATGCTCCAAACAAATTGTCACTGGAACCGTAATCAGTTAATTATTGGTAATATAATCTGTTATGTCATTGAACTTAAAGAAGGAGAAAAAAGACAGGAATCCAGACTTTATTAAAAATATAATCAACTCATTTATTTATTTATTTACTTATAAGAAATCATTTATATTTTCAGAACATTTGTTACATTTCTACAATAAATCACGATGTATTGGTGACACTGATAAGAGGACTGCAAACACCGTTGTTCGGTTTTAGTTTGAAACTCGTTAGCATTATATAAATTAAAAATATTGCTTAACCAAATATCATTTGACCATTAGTCTATATTTTCTAACTTTACATAGCATGATTTCGTTGACAGACATCCGTTCAACCTCTGATATAACTGACTATAGATCACACTACTTCTTAATATATCTTCAGAAGGAAGCATTTGAGATAAATAATTGTTGGTGTTTGTGAGAACCTTTTTGGTTTTAAAATAATTTTTCTCACGGAATGATTGTGATACCTTGTGTGTACAATTAGGAACTAGAAGTGTAATCCATGACTAACGTTTGATAATATTTAGGACTCATCAGCTGGATATACTTGCATCCCGGTGCTGATATTCATATTGAGACTCGAACACAGTATCTTTAGCCTTAATCATCAAGTAAACAACTCATTGGAGTCTGAAGGGAAAGGTACTGGGTCCGAGTCCTAATATAGATATCAACACTGGGATGTATAGTCATCATAATGTTTCTTTCATAGATAGAGGTTCCTATTCAGGAAAAGTTTACCTTAACACAGTTAAATTAAATAATAATTCAAGTTTTTTTTTGCTGTTAGGCAAAGTATAAATAAAATCCAATATATTAAATTGCTTCTAACATTCATACCTCCTATGATTATTGTGATCTACGTCTTCACTTACATCTTGAAAAAAATTGATTGTGCTTATGATATGTGTATGGAATCTGTTTATAACAAAGTTTTTTTTTCCATTTAAAAATATTTTTCTGGCGGTTTGATTTGTCATTTTTGTTTTAATTATAATTTACGTGTTTTGTAAGAATTTGTGTTTGAAATGTGTTATCGTTAAATAAATCATTAATTTAGCGATAATCAGAAAATCGTCTGACAATGTTCGAATTAATAGTAATTATTATTATTTATACATTTGTCATCATAACATAATCTGTAGGTTAATTCTCTTGAAAACGTTTTGTTCATAAAAGATTGTTTGGTATCATATATGATCTAACATACTATTGTAACGTTAGAATGCCTTAAAAACTGTCTTCGAGAAAATCATTTTGATCTAACGAGTGAATAGAATCGAAAAAAAGTAATTATAGGTATAATTAACTTTTGATGTTGTACACTGTTTTACAGCATCGATTAATGGATTACAATTTACAGTTCATGTTCTAAGTTATCGTATTGAAGCAGATTTTAATTCAGATCACTGTACTTTTACAGTGTGACTTGCCACATACTCAAGATACATATAGTAATTCATTCCAGTGAGTAGCACCGTGTTTTATAAGCAAACTTACTAAAAGTAATAGGCAACCATGTTTCTGAAGTTTTATTTTCATAGAACCGATTAGTTTATTACAATATTCAAGATTTTTCACTGAAGTCAGTCGGTAAAGATTATCTATTAATAATGATTTGAAAACTGAATAGAATCAACTAAATCTAGGGAAACTATATTGTTCCACGCTATTGTATACAATTTGTTGATGGAATTTTCTAAGTGATGAATTGAAAAAGGATACAATTGTTCGTACATACTTATACTGTATGCACTGTTATGCATAATTCCTATTTTGAATGCAACTTAGTATTTTACCACAAACGGGTATAAATCGAAATTAGTACTAGAGTTGTTGTTTCCTCATTTACTAGCAAGTTGTAATTGCAGTCTTAAGATAATCGATGTTTCCTTTGGGGTCATAAATTATTTTATAGAGTTCTTTCGATATCCAGAAATAAAATAAAACATGATATCAATCAATTGCTACTCGGTGACCGATTATTGTAAATATCTTCGTCTTACACGAAATCTTGCACGGTCCTTGTAGCTTACTGGTTAGCTCTTTGACTATGATCATAAACGACTCAGTTCAATCCACCACCGAATCATGGAGTTCTTCGAAATCAGAAATAAGCATTAACTAAATAGTCAAGTCCATCACGAAACTTAAGTTTAGTACTTCCTATCGGTTGCTTACAATCACTTGAAACATGAAAGCACACTGTATACAGGCACTATTTTGTCAACATGGTTTTAACCTGTTAATAATATATCAAGTTCACTGTATGGCTTAGGTTAATAACAATATGTGTGGAAAATCATCTTCGAATATTCATAGTTAAAGTTTATTTCATGAATTCACACCATACACTTTAGTAGCAAAATGTTTGGAAACTGAATAGTGTGAAATATAAACAACTGACTAGACGTTTGTCATTCATATTTTAAGTAATACAGATAAAATGAAAACCACTTATTGCAAATAGTAAATATTGTTGTAATATCCGGTACTGAATAACTGTTAATACTTATAATGCAATTCATTAGTTAGGATTAAATATTCATAACGACCTAATATATCATTATAACAGATAAGGTACAAGTTGGTATGGCTGTTTGATATGCATCTCGAGTTGTCTAACAGGCAATAAGGTTGAAGACTGTCTTCAGTAGCGTACAAGAATCGATTCGGATTTTAGTTCTTGCCTCTAGCTGCAGTCTGCTCATTGGTTGTGTGTAAAGAGCTCAAGGCACATCTATAACTGTTGATCTTACTACTAATAAGTTTATACATGCTTCTGTTTTAAACTCTGATGTAATAGGCATTACAGTAGACTTAAACTATTTTGGAATTGAGAAGAATTCTTAGCAACACTCAAATATTGGTCATAATGAGTTCATACTCCACCTAGAAGTGATAACATCAAAGTAGTTTGATTTCAAGATATTGTTCCTATTTTCGTACATGCAGTGATAAGAAAATAGTTGTCTATGCTATTCCCACTAATAACGGTTTTACTATAGTCTCATAGGTATACTAGACATACTCTTGTGCGTAGATTCCAATGCACGTGTGAAACCTACAGGACCATTAATCTTAGCGGTTTATTCATACTAGTTAAGTGTCCCAATAAAATAAGATTTTTGTAGGAAAGTAACTGTTGCATGATTTCTCTCTAGTATCACAAATAACCATAATTTTTAATTAAGGAAACATGTAGTGGTTAATCAAGAGTTTTCAGCACATAACACTGGTTCAAAAATATAAAATTTAGTTATATTCAATAAAACTAGATCTTCCATAAGTTGTTACCTTGGCTTTTGTAACTTAGTCTCTACTGAACATAAGCTTAGGCGTCTGGTCTCTGTGGTATACGTTTGGCATTTCCGGACTAGTCGACACGACTAATCATCATCCTTGCAGGTAAACTCATATCAAATGGGACGGTGATTCCTTGTCTGGGTACCTTAATTTTTTTGTCAGTCATTGATATCAAACAGTTAGGAAACTCTGTCTTATCAGATTTCCTTTTGATGACAAGTGATGTGGTGAAAGGTAGTGCTTCGAGTCCTCTGATCTTTATAGCTTATGTAAATGATGTCTCCAACTGTTTCAGCATGGTTAAACGTTTTCTGTATGCAGATTATCGTGAGGTTAGTCATATGGAAAATCATATTAGTATGAAGCTAAATAAAGTCACTGTTTTCGTTCTCAAAATAGGATTTAGAAATTTGCGCAGTTATAAGTGAATCGGTTTGCGATCGAGTTCCATTTATCAGGTCCGACTTCAGCAGCAATGGTAAAGTGCTATCTAAATTTCATACAATGTTAGACTCAGAATTCAAGTATTCATACATTCTATCTCTCTCTCTCAGAAGAGGTCTGAATGCAGATTTACTAGTCTCAGTCACTTTTGTGTTGTACTCTAGGTAACTTGAACAATTACTTATATTGTAGATATCATGCCAGAAGTCATCTTCCAATTTAACTAGTCAGTGAAAAGCACAACATTCTGTATGATTGCAACTGAATTTAGGTTTTACCATCGTCATTGTTATTGTCTTTCAACTGTTGTGATGAATTAACTACTAATTCAATGTTTCTTTGTATCCTCATCATCTTCGGAATCAAAGGTATTTACATGTATTTTCTTTTGGATCGTACTGTTTACTAATAAGTAGTTTAGTTTATTTGACATAATTTAAATTAAAAAATATCTCTAGGTTTCACTAGTTCTAAAGTGTATCTTTATGGGGGAGAGAACAAGTAATGTGATGTGGAGAGAAAGATACAATGCCTCCCATTCAATACGTTTTCATAATATTTCCGAATCTGATTCCGCCGGTACAATATATTTTCATGATATATCTGAATCCAATATCATCGTTGCTTTTATATCAGTTGACGAAGATGTGAACAGAATGTTGGTGATCCCAGCACAGATTTACTCAGTAATGGCTGCTCAAGTTGTTGATCATGCTTATTGTGAACCTGTTTTTTCAATAACTAACCAAATTTATCTGAGGTGATTTGTCTCTACGTGTCACATGTCATGTGTTAAAGCAGTATTATCAACTATGTCAGTCGCTATCCATTCTAAATGACTACATTATGTGTCGACAGTGTGGTAGTTTCAGATAACCTACTCTCATCCATCCTGCAACAACATCATATAGCATACTCAGGTCTTTGAAGAGTGAATTCTATCGTCCGGATCCATATGTTGGCCTAACTTTGATGAGTACGTCGAAGAGTTAGTGAGTATATGCAGAAAATGAGCTTCATTTTCAAGGGAATCCCATTCTCGGTCATCTACAAATGAACCTTGATCGCAAGTACATATTGATTTTGTTATCTCATTTCAAGGTACCAATTTCTTCGTTTACTCTGACGCTTACTCTAATTGGCCAGAGATTTTGCCCGTAAACCGAATCACTTTTCAGGACATTATTATAAAATTACGACAGTTATTTTGCCATTTTCGAGTTTCAGTTGTTCTTGT